CCAAATCTTCGGAGTTTTTGCTGTCCTTTACAATTCTTCAAAATACTGCAATATATTAAAAAGATCTCTTTTCCACTATCACTAGCTTTTCCTCTAATGTTTAAATTTATGCTCCACAGATAAGGATACATAGTTTGTCATTTTATGGATGCTACCACCTGTACGAGATTTTCAAATGGACTTAATAAAATTGGAGCCATTATCATTAGTGTTATAGGCAGCATTCAGTGGTTTGTTTCACTGATCTACAAGCTCATAAAATGAGAAAGGGGGTCAAACAGAATTGTATGTACTTTAGTATAGAACCCTATAAAGTTGTTCTCAGTGTGAAACAAGTTAGAACCAAGAGACAGTAAAACTTGACCTGTCTACTCAGCATTTTAGAGGCCAAAAATATTCTGGGCTAACCGTCCTTTGCATTGCTAACAAGTATAATTTAATATCTTAATCTGTTTTTCCTTGGTTTGATTTGGATTTTTTATTTTATTTCCTGGTATGATACTTTGGAAGACGTTAATTTTCCAAGCAGACAGCAGCAAATGAAACATTCATGCTCAGCACTCTTAAGGAGAAAATACTGCATCTTTCTCAAGGAGAGGCATTACCCTGTCATCTACCACAATATCCAACAGACATTTCCTTCTACAGTACTGCTGTTGATGCTGCAGTTGTTCTGATTGATACTGATTAGTGAGAGTCAAGGACACTAAAGGCTGAACCTCAAACCAGTGCTCAGTCAGTTTTTGCACAGCTTCCAATTCAGGGACAGGTTAAAGCGAAAAAGAGAGTGTGAATAAGTAACTGTACAGACTTTGAAACATAACTCTGTAGTTACAGTGACTCCCTACAGAACCACAGAAAACGCAAATTAATAGAAACCCAGTTCATAGGAAGGGGTGTAGCAATTACTGTCTGCATACACATTTTAAAACATAGATGTCTGCAGGCTATTTTACACTTCATTTGCATGAGACAATATATCAAGGAACACTTTCTTAAAGCTTTCTGCAAGTATATGAAAAGCCAAAACTGTTAAGAAAAAGGCTGTTTACCTTATGACATCTCTAGCATTTATGTTTAATAAACTCATTGGTATGCACATAAAATACAGAAATGCTACTATACAGATACACTTTTGACAAGTGTCAGTTTACAGCCAGAAGAAAGAAGATCAGAGCACACAAAGGACACAGCATATTTACGTCGTACCCCTTTGAACAAGAGAATCACTGTCAACTTTGAAACCATTCTGTCTTTACCTGAATACTGAATCCAACTCCACCATCATGTTATCTTGCATAATTCCAAGGATCAATAGATATTCCACATTTTCAATACATATGGTCTTTTGACAAGAACCAGCAAGACAGTTTTTATATATAAATTAGGGAAATAATGTTGCTCATTCCAGTACAATAAGAGTTGTGGAACTATATCATATATATTCATTTGTAATGGGATTATTTTGCTTACTGTTGCATTACAACAATATTAACTCCTTGGACTGTTACAGGTCTTATAGTTATTATTGAGCAATGCTCCAGATTGCTGTCATTTTACATTGAGTCTGTGAAGTCTGAATACTTCTTAGAAGATGAGTATCTTAATCACTGAGTGCCTGTAGTAAAACAATTTTTTTTTTTACTTCATTAATCTGAACTGCCTTCCTTTACAGTCACTACTATTCAAGTGCCTCCATGTAGCAATTAATGATCTTCCTAAAAAACCTGATCTGTACGTGGTCAATGAGGATAACAGAATGACAGCAAGCAACGAAGATGCAAATACCATCTAGCCCAGCTACTGTTTTGCTACATGAACACTACTACATCATTTCTGTGCATCTTTCCTTACTTCATCCTATGCAGACTTTAAGGTCAGAGCCAGAAATCACTGCCTCATCTCAATACAATCTTGGCTCAAGTATTTCACCCCACAAATTCTCTCCTCATAGAAAAATTATGACAGAGAAAAATCAAAAATACCCCAAAAGCCCTGCTAATTATTTCTTACCATAAATCCTAATGTCAAAGCAGAGGGAAAAGACAATCTTACAGCTACCTTTCACTGAATCTTACCTACATCAGTCCTCCTTGACAGCAACACATGGGCTTTGAAAAAAAAGGAAGGATAAGGCATGGGATGTTTCTTCATGGTTTCAATTTACACTCCTGAAAAGCCATCTCAAAGTCTGGCACACATTTGGTAGGCAGGTGAAGTATATACATTCAGCTCCTGCACCTATTCCAAGGCTCCAGGGACTTTTCTTTCTTCCCAGATACTGCACTAAGTTGGAATCACACCAAAGACACTGCTTGGCTGTGAATATCTCTGTGATTCCTCCCAAACACAGAAGATGGAAAATATTTTTAAGGAGAGAATACTGCACAACACAGTACTAAATGAAGCAGTTTGAGTCTTCTGAATCACAGCTGCTTGGAGCCAAAGTGAAAACAATGTGCATTTATACCAGTCTGACCTTGGTTTGCTTCACTCTGTTCTGTTTTACATAGGCACAAAATGGATCTCCATTCAAAGGCACACTCTTTACAAGATACACCAAGGAATGGAGAAAGAAAATGGTCTTGGGAAAAAGGAAAGCTCCCACTCTTTCTATTTATGAATGTTACCTCTTACAGCACCCTTTTGATGGAACAAATCACATACTATATTTAAAAGGCTAATTGCACCTAAATTACAGCCAAAAAGCCCTTTCTGAAGACTCAACAACTTTATGGGAGAAAGTAAACAATTTTACTAAATGATACCGTGTAATTATAAACTTAATTAACATGAAATCAATTAGACACGAGTCTCTAACAGATATCATGTTTAGTTGCTTATTGCCATAACTGTCAGGGGAGGCTATTAGCAAGTAAGTGAATAAGACTGTTTTCTTATTTGAAACTGTATTCCTGAAATGGGAACTGCTAGGTTTCTCATCCATGTCTGGCACACAGCATGCTCTGTATGCTAAATATCCTAATAGAATCTTATTTGTCTGCTACCACTGATGCACTAGGAACAGAACTTTCTGAGCTGTGTGAGCAGCAATAGAAATAGCCTTCCGCTCTCTGTGCATGTGAAAGAAGCTCCTGTCCTATTACCCAAAGAAAGAAAACTACTCAGAAACATTTTACTGTCATATAACTTTGTAGGGACAGAACCAAGAAAGGAACGGTGCTATCGCTCAGTTATTTCTGAGTACTATAGCCAAGATGTGTCTTCTCAAATTTCCCTCTTTCTAACAGAAAGAATGATCTTGTAGCTGTATTAAGGTTAACAAAATGCTTGAAATGTGTTTGAAATAAGAGATATTTCTTCTGAAAGAGGAGAGGTTGATGCTTCACTTGACAACAATTCCCCCTAAAGGCGCTGTGCTACTACCACTGCAAAATAATCAGGAATAGAGCTTACACTTCCCTTCCTTTAATGAGATGGCACTTCCATCTCCATCCCATCTCCCCAGCCTCCTACCAGAAAATAAACTCAGCTTTACATGGAGCAAGTCTGCTGCAAATTAAAGCTTGAATGACTCCACCCTACTAGAGCAATTGTGTGAATTCAGATGTGGAACAGACACACAATGAGATCCAAACAGTAGTTAACAAGCCAGAAACTCTTCAGTGTAAATGGGATATACAAGACTAGTTCCTTCCAGGCCCATCTACTAAGCTAAAGACTTCAAAGACAAAGAGGATCAGGCACATCTGTGTCAGCAAATAAAGAATGGCCAGAGCCCAGACTTGAGCAAGGTTGCATCTTCTTTTTATCCACAGTTACTTAATCTATACTAAAATAAGGTACCATTTTGGCCTAAGATAGAAAGCACTCTCCCATACAATGTCCCAGTACAGTTCAAAGGAGACCATGACCCAGGAATTATTTACAACACATAGTATGTATGAGACCACTTTATTTGAGGGATAAGGGACAAGAGAGTATTGTCTTGTCAGTATGGACATGATCTGTGCCTTTCCTGAAGGACCAGAGGATGTATCCTAGCCCCATATGCTTTGATTGCATACTAGTAGCCTCAAACGCTGCTGTGCTTTGCCCTAGAACTGAGTGAAATGATATAGTATACACAAACCACACACAGTGCCTACTCTCCAGGGATACCACTTAACAGATAATACAGAATTGAGTTATTTCTGATTACTTCAAGTACAATGGAAGAGGTGAGTCAGTTATGTGAAATGCATGCTAGTATTGCAAATGGTTAAATGATTTTCAAAACAGCTGTACCAATTTTGTTAATGTAGGACACAAAACCTTTGTATTTGGCCAGTTCTGATTATTTAGGCTTGCTGCAATGAATCAATACTGATGGAACATATATTTGTTTTTGACATTCTGTCTGAAAAATGTTTCATCAGGTACTTGAGAGCTCTTTTACTCTTGTCTGGACTGGAAAATAAGATGATTGAAAACACGTTAACAAACTTAAAAAAACACAAAACCCCAAAATCCACTCATCTGAAGACACTCATCTAAAACACAGTATTTGGGACACTACCCTAGATATACAGCTGGGTTTGCTTACACCAAATGGATTCTTACCAATTGCTTCACAATGAATTTGTAATGAGCAAAACAGGACAGCAAGTTACATTCACACACTGTTACGCAGTCCATCCCCATTTATCAATCTTTCAATAGAGTAAAGTCCCTACCAAGCCCTGCTCAAAGTCCTGATACTTACACACAAAAAAATTTCCCAGATTCATAAGGGAAGCTAACATACATCATTAATTATACACGATTTTGACTGCATATACATTTTTTCAACAAAAAATGTATGTATACACATATATATACACACACACACAGTAGGATAGATACAGCCCATAAATATAATTGAAAACTGAAAAACAAATGTAGTATTTTATGACATCTGTTCTAAGAATAAATAATTATGTCAATTCACCACATATATTTAAAAAAATACAGTCTTTGCTCTTTATAGGTTAGGAGTCTGAATAGCTTTATCATCTCACCTTCATTGTCGCAGTCTTGCATTGAAAGCCATATTTGATCTACCAGACCAACTCGTTTTACTTCACCATGAACTGGAATGGAATGCATTATCATTAATGCAGTTGTCAAGAGTTTGGTTTGCAATTGCCAATACTCTTTTAAAAAAATATTTCTTCACCAATTGCTCTATTTTTCATCCTACTCTGCAGGAGAGAAAACATCAATTGTGATACCTCTAGATTGTTCCCAGTTCACATTTTTCACAGTTAGCAATCTATACCATGAGGGGCGCTGTCACTAATAACTAACACATTTTGGACTGGACTCAGACACAGCTTTTACATGTGTTTTAGAGCTACAGAAATGTGCATGGCTTAAAAATATTTATGAAAAAAATGTAATATCTTGCTTTATGATAAGCAATAAGTAGATATTCTTCACCCACTGGCCAAATTCTTCTTGGTGGATATCCTTGGCCTGCAAAGATGAACTTAATGTACAGATAGCCCACCCTGAAGTCAAGGTCAATACTTAGTCATACTGCATGGAGCACTTTTTTGCTCAGGTTTTTGTTTTTTATCTGGGGGTTTTGCTTTTGCGGGGATAATATACGGACAAAAACCTGATTCATTAACAGCCAAGTCACTAATTCACTGCACTGAAGAATCCTCAGAGGACCTAACATCAAAACGGACCTATTCCTTACTCCCAGTATTGAAATAAATCTCCAACCAGCTTGCATTGCCTAAAGCTTCTGCAAGTTGCCCTCTGTTGTGCCAGAGATCCTGGTGTTCCCTTGCTGCTTCCTATAAGACAGGAGGTACCAATGTAGCAAAATAACTGGTTTCCATGTCTCCTCCTGTTCTAGTCCAAGGTACTTCAGTATGAGGCATCACAATGAACATAAAAGATTTGCAAATTCATGCCTCTCTATCCTGAGCTTTTAGGTACCAGTGTTCTTTCCAACATGAAAAAATGAACTTCACATGCAAAAGCAATGGATCTGTGGCCAGCAAACCTGGACATACATTACAAACTCAATGTAGGGACAAACATCTAAATATAAAAAACATATAAACAGACAAATGGCAGGGCTGAACTTAAATCATCTACTTAAATTATACCACTTGAAAATTTGTGTAGCTGTACTTTTATATATATGTATATACAAATGCCCTCCAACATATTTTACATGAATCACTGAACAGGTTTTTCCTTGGAAATTATATTAACATTAAGGTACTAGTCCCACACAAGAAAAAAATTTTGTGCACAGCATAAAATCAACAGAATATATAAAAAACTGATTTGACCAACATTAAATATGATGTCAGTAGAATGAGCAAAGTGAACTGCAGACATTCTTTGACTGATTAGGGATTACAACCCAAATTTGGATCCATTATGTTCAACAAGCATTGTGTTCATAATATTCTACAATAAAGCTGACCTCCAGGAGCTGGCTCCTGTAATTATAATAATAACTCTGAATTCCGTCATGACTTCAGATCTTTACCCTGTCCAAATTTTCCTGAAGAGCAGGAAAAGGAAGGATGCTCTAAATTTTGTTATTTTCCAGCCAACATAAAAATGACACTAGACCAACTTTTTTAGCTCCTACAAATACAACCAGCTCATTTTACTCAAGTTAACAGATCTTAAATATCACTTTTAAGATACAGAATTTAAATTTCAAAAAGCAGACCCTGTTATGCAGTATGATGTCTATGTGAAAACTGAAGCATGTAAGCAGCCTTGCTTGCCTCTTGACAAAGCATCAAACCTGTATTTTAGCGGCCTATTCAGAAAAGAAAAGCTTGTCTGAGAGAATACTCTACAGGATGACAAACAAAAGATAACTAAGATATTCTTCTGTATTTGTGACTGACTGCTTATGATATTTCTCAAAACAGGAAAGCTGTTTTACACAACAAAGGTTTCCACTCCCATTAGAGGAACATTGTTTCCTTTCCTTCAATTAAAATACTGAATCTGGTACTCCCCTTAGGATTTACAATATAACTGCAGGAAGTGAGGTTACTTACTGAGTATGTAACAAGTTACTTAGTCTACTTAGTCTACACTGAACCAATTTCTAGATAAGGG